ACTGTGGTCAGTTCTGGGAGGCATGACTTAATATAGTGGTCGTTACCAACCTGGCTCCCAGGAAACCAAAGGGAACCTGGGTGAGAGATGACAGGTGTCCTGGGGGGTGAGCCACCCAAGATGTTTCTTTCTCAAGGCAACTGGGCTGCTTGTCCTTCCTTCTCAGAGGACTGATATGACATCATGATGTTGGAGTCAAGGCACAGTGCGTCTGACTGTGGTTGATCAGACCAGTATGAGCCTGGAAGGCTCTGCCACAGGTCGAGTACAAATAGTCCACGTGAACATTTGGCGTGGATTCTCTAAATGTGCATCTCATGTTTCTTTTGAGCTCCTTCAATGTGCTCCGCTCAGAGGAAAGCACCTTCTCTGATGAGGGCACGCCATGCTGAAAGGTCCTGTGCCAGCGTCTCCTACATCTCACAATCAGTTCCAAAGTTCTTAGGAGAGACCTTGAGAGTGTCCTTGTATCGTTTCTTCTGATCACCACGTGAGCACCTGCGTTGGGTGAGTTCTCTGTAAAATAGACTTTTTGGCAATTTGACATTCAATCAATGTGGCCAGCCTATTGGAGTTGCGCTCTCCGAAGCAGAGATTGAATGCTTGGCAATTTAGTTTAAGAAAGAACCTCAGCGTCTGGTCTCTTATCCTGCCAGGTGATCTTCAGAATCGTCCTTGGACTGAATCACTTAAATGGAAATGATTCTGTTTCCTGGCATGGCGCTGGTAGACCGTCCAGGTTTCACAGACATACAACAATGAGGTTAGCACAATGGCTCTGTAGACCTTCAGTTTGGTAGTCAGTCTAATACGTCTTCTATCCCATACTTTCCTTTGGTGTCTCCTAAACACTGAGCTAGTTCTGGCAATGTGTACATCACCCTCATTAGCAATGTGTCGAATCCCAGGAAAATATACTGCCAAGGTCAGTGAACTTATCCACAGTTGTAAGGCCTGCAATTCCCCCATCTAGGGATTCCTGCATCTCCCCCCTCCCCACACAGACAGGCAAGTTTGTTACCAAAGGAAGAGGCCAAGGAGCCACAGATTGATTATAGGTAGTGGTTTAATCAATTGAGTTACTTCTATCAGGGGCCAGTATCATGGATCCCCACTAAGAATTCAGATAATTAGCAGTCTGGGGCAGTGGCCAGGCAGTTCAGTGGGTCCTGTCAAAGAACTCAAAAAATCCCTGTGGTAATTATAGAAAACAGCCAAAGGGAGGAGGAGCTAGAGAGTGTGCGACTGCTGACTGGCGGATGTTTTTGCTTTTCTGCTTAGTGTGAGCTTGGGCATTAGGTCAGTGTTATGCCCAAACATAAGTTTGTGTATTGATCATGTCCCAGTCACGATATTCTTGTTATGACTTTCATAGGTCATAGTATCTTAAGTTATGACTCAGTGTCTGAACTACGATTCAGTATTTGAGTTATGATTTTAACAGGTCACCATGTCCTGGCTTCTACCTCTCATAGAGTTTAAGTTTTTATGGCTTTTTAGTTATTACTGTATTTTATAGCTTTTCCCCAACGGGCACCCACAACAGCGTTCCAGACTTCTCCATTTGCTGTAACCGATGGTTCCACATAGGGGTGGTGTGGTGCTGGCTGATGGGGCGCCTCTGTTTTCTTGGTGTTAACTGTCAGGCCAGAACTAGCACGGGAAGCAGAGAATTGATCCACACTTTGTAGCATCTCATCCTCAAGGGCTGCACTGAGTACACAATCATTCGCACAAAGAGTCTCGCACTAACTCTCCCTCCACTTTAGTCTTGGCTTGTAGCCTTTTCAAGTTAAATAATTTACCATTAGTGTGGTAGCTGACCTTGGTGCTGTTTTCGTCTTCACTGAAATGTCGAACAACATCGCTGAAAACCAGGCTTTTGGGGGTAAGGGTGTAGACCTCCATCAGCACTGCCATTCAGCTGGAACCAGCCCTGGAGAGAACTGTGGTTGCTGGGACAAGGATCCAAAGGCGGGGACAGGCAGAGCAGCAGAGACCTCATTGGAGGGGTTGGGATAGATGGGCAGCCTCTGTGAAATCTGCCAGCTCAAATGAGATCGAGTGAGAAGGGATGCCAGCTTCTTGGAGCTAAACTTTTCTCTGAATGCTTGATGAGGCAATCTCAACTACTTTCCAACCTTTGGCAGACAGAGGGTGAAGGAGCAGATGGGCTTGCTTAGAATTATCTGACTGACTTTCAATCAGTCACACGACCATTATGAAGTGACTTGTCTACACCTCATGAATGAGGCTGGCCACTAATGGATGAGGAGACCCCAAATGCAGAGATGGGGCCCGAGAGGAGAGATGATTTTTCTAACTTGGTCACTTTTAGCATGTCTCAGATCATCCTCCTGGGTCTATAAACTGGTGACCCCCAGCAGCACCCTCCAAGCTCCTGCCAGGGGAAAAGACACGCTTGAGCACGCACACAGCGACCACCCTCTGCTATAGCCTCTGGGCTGGTGGCCCAAGCTGCCCATGCACACACCACCCCCCACCCTCCCCCAGCTAGCTTATAGCCTGATTCTCTGAAGACTTCAGGAAGCAGAGGAACCGAGGCGTGGATAACTTCTGCAGCTCCACGTTTTCATGGTCTGCCAAGGGCCCCACCAACAAGGGACATGGATGAGATGGACAGTGTCCAGAAAAGGGTTGTGACAATGGTGAAGAGCTTTGAATGCCCACCACAAGAGGGCTGGTTGAAGGAATCAGGAGGGTTTAGACTAGAGGAGACAGAGGTAGCTTGTCAGGGTGGATAGAATGTTGGGTTTTGATTCAGGGTTTACATCCTTCTTCTGATACCTATGAGCTTAGGGAAGTCACTAAACCTCCTTGGGCCTCAGTTCTTTCATCTACAAAATGAGACAGTAAACTTGATGGCTCCTAAAACTATGATCCTGCCTGCAGGGAGCCTCCAATCTATCACTGACTGTCATGTCTGCATGATCTGAGCACACAACTCAGTATAAAGTTTATTCTACAGAGGGCAAACCCACCTGAATTGCTTAACGCAAGCCTTCCAACAGGTAATATAGTGTAGTGGCATCGGTCTGGAAACCACGAAGACCTGGGTTTGTTTCCCACACGGCTCCATTGCTGTGGGTGTCACCATTATGACTCCAGCTGGGTATATTCTCACTTCTCTTCCCATTCTCCACCTCTCATCTGCTTCCTTTTGTATATTGTCTTCCCCTGCTAGATTGTAAGCTCCTCGAGGGCAGGGACTATCTTTTGCCTTTCTTTGTATCCCTAGTGCACATTGTCTGGCTCATAGTAGGAGCTTAATGTTTATTTTATTATTTTTTTGTTTTGTTTTTTGTTTTTCTAGGCAATTGGGGCTAAGTGACTTGCTCACGGTCACACAGCTAGTAAGTATCAAGTGTTTGGTCTGAGGCCGCATTTGACCTCAGGTCCTCCTGACTTCAGGGCCGGTGCTCTATCCACTGCGCCACCTAGCTGCCCCCAAGCTTAATGTTTATCGACTGATTAATTGGGTTCAAATTCTACTGCTTGGTTGTGTGATCCTGGGCTAGTCACTTAACCTCAGTGTCCCCCAGGCACCTAGGACTGTCAGGTATAGAATTGGCACTGTTCATCATTGGTAGAGGGAGTTTCCTCATTAAACAGTTCCCCAAAATGATGAAATCACAGGTCCGGTGCAAGCAAAATAAAACTAGTCTCTTTTAGAAACTTAGCATTCCTAAGGAAAGAAAGCGCCTCCACCCAGCCCATTCACGTGGAGATGGCTGCACGACATGGGACTGCTTTGAAGTCCCCCCCTGCGCATGTCCCAGGAAGCTCATGATGGGGCAAACCTCACAGTCCTGCAGGATCCCGCCTTCCTTGGGACTCCACCTCCTCACTAACCTGGGTCCCTCTGCCAGGAGGGTAGAAGCATCCATATCATGCTTCCCCTCAAGGAGCACGCTCAGTTCAGACTTCTCATTTCCCACCTGACTGTATTACTTTGGGATTTCTTCTCCAGGTACCACCTTCTCCTCCTCTTCCCTCCCTCATTGGACTTCAGCTGTGCATGTGTGTGTGTGCAGTCTTCTCTCCTTGCAGGCAGGAACTGTGTTTTGAATCTGTATGCCCAGCACTTAGGACATCGCCTGGCACATAGCAGGAATTTCATAAATGTTTACTGAATGAAGGAATGAATGAATGAAGACCTAAGCAGTCTTCCAAACCTGGAATCCCAGGCTGTCTTCTGCCTGTCCCTTGAGCCCAGTCTTTTGGAGGGAATTCGAAGATGGACAGGCTTCATCTTCATAAATAGCAGAAACATGAGGCAGCATTTCCCTAGCCGTTTCAGGTTTGCAAAGCCTATTCCATGCATTCTCACTTCATTTTCACAAGAGCCCTGTGAAACATGCTTTTATCCCCATTTTGCAGAGGAGGAAACAACTCACCAAGGTAAGTGACTTGCCCAGGGTCACATAACATCTGAGACAGAAATGACCTTAGGCTGTCTATCCATACGCTGACCTTACCTACTCCATCTGTCCTGAGCCCCCACCCTTAGACCATGGCTGGCAAATCCATGGCAAGTCTTGGATCACAGGAATAAGATCTAGGAGGAAACTTGGGATTTGTCTAGTCCAGAGGAAGAGAGTGAGGCTTAGAGAGGAAAAGAGATGTGTCCACCACATCCCACACATACTAAGAGGCAGAGCGGAGATCCAAACCTCAGTCCTCTGGCTTGAAAGCAGAAGAGTTGTTGGGTTTTTCTCTTTGTATGCACAGTGCCTGGCACATAGTAGGAGCTTAATAAATGTTTGCACATTGATCGTCCACCTGTTAGAATGTAACCACCTTGAGGGCAAGGACGATTAAAAAACTAACTTATTAGTGTATCTCGAGCCTTGCAGATGCACATGGTAAGCGCTTAATGCTCATTGATTGACTGACCAACAAATCTGACACTCTTCCCAAGGTACCAGAGCTGTAGCAGACCAAGGCAGTGAAGAGCAGGGGAGTAACCTAAAATAGCTTTGATTTATTAGGCACAGTGGGGTGGGGCAGGGACAGTGGAGGAGGCCTTTCTGTTGGCAGGGACTCCTAGGACATTTCCTCCTCAGCATCCTCAGAGGCCTCATTGGTTTCCTCATACTCTGCACTGTCTCCCTGTTCGGCATCCTCAGCATCTTCCATCTCCGTGACATAGAAATCCTCATATTCCTCTATGCCTTCATTCTTAGTCTCAACCTTATCCTCATACTTATCCTTATCTTTAGTCTCCTCCTCCTCCTCCACTTCCTCATCTTTCTCATAGTCCTCATCTTCATCCTCATGCTCCTCTTCCTCCTCATCCTCATTCTGTTCCTCAACTTTCCCCTCCTCATCTTTCCCCTCAATATAAATCTCTGGGATTTCTGAAGGCTTAAAGACTTTTGATGAAGTTTTTCTGGAATAATCCAGAGAGTGGGCCTTGGACAAGGTCTCGGACTCCTGACTTTGGCTGTCTGAAGTAGGAAGGATGGACGACATGCTTGTGGTGGGGAAGGAAGTCTTTGGTGTTGCCCCTGGCACCACAGAGGGCCTAGAAGACCTGGCAGATGGTCTATGCAAGGACCAAGGATACTGGAAGGACTTTGTTGAAGACTTGGTGGAAATCCGAGAAGAGTGGCGGCTAGAGGATGAGGAGGTGGTGGTAGTGGTGGTGGTAGTGATCTTCTTCTTCTTCAAGGGTGCAAAGATAGCTGCCTGCTCAGCCTTCTCCAGCTTGTCCAGCATGCAGGGCCAGTTGACCTGAGAGGAGAGATGGATGCTTGGACCCTTGATTTTCTTGTAACCGAGGATGAGGTCAATGAGGGTGTCAGTGACAGAGAAGGAGATAAAGCCAAGCTTCTCTGCCAGGCCCTTCTCATAGTTATACTTGCAGATGAGCAGTTTCATGGCTTGGTCCATGAGGAACTGAACCATATACTCCTTCTTGGGGTTGAGGAGTGAGAAGTGAGACATGAGGGACTTGTGGGACTTGGTGGAGATTTCAGAGGGCAGCTTCCTGAGGGTCCTGGTCAACTTCTGGTACCTGGCCTAGGCAGCAGCCCAGGGGGGGAAAGGAGAGCTGTTATACCAGGAAGATCATACCAGCCAGGGGCCAGCCACATCCATCACATCATTCTCATCACATCCAGCGATGCTGCCGCACCCATAAAATGAGGCATGGGTCAAGTGTTCAGCACCTTGCTCACTCCTGACACAGTCAACACTCTTGCTATACTTGTCAGTACTATCACCTCTAACACCCCCTTCATCTCCCTCACTGCCACACCCAACACCACTCTTATCAAGCCTACCACTCCTGTAAGACACACTCAGCACCACTCCCACCAGTCACCACTGCCACATTCATTGCTCCTGTTGTACCACTGCTCCTGCCACACTCATCATCTGTCACCCCCAACACGTCCATCACACCAGTCACTCCAAAAAGATTTCACACCTACCATCCCTTTCATACCCTTCACTCAATTCCCAACATTTTAGTAGGGAGAAGGATGAGCTGGGCAAACAGCATGGTTAAAGGCCTTGAGTTTATGTCACATGAGCACTAACGGAAGTAACCCTGGATATTGACCCTGGAGACCACTGGGGTGGATAGTTGCCTTCAAGTGTGTGGAGAAGGGACCAGACCTGTTCTTCTTGGACCCAAAGTGCAGAACCAGGAGCCATAGCGACAAGGTGCAGAGAGGCCCATTGAGGCTAACAATGAAAACTGTTCCAATGTGACATGGGCTGCCTCTAGCATCCTAATAGCACCCACCTCCCAGCATTGTAAGGATCAAATGAGATAATCTTTGCAAACTGTTTAGCACAATATCTGGCACATAGACATAGTAGGCGATTAATAAATCCTTCCTTCCTTCCTCTCTCCCTCTTTCCCTCCCTCCTTTCTTCTCTCCCTCCTCCTCCCTCCTCCCTCCTCTCCTCCTCCTCCTTCCTTCCTTCCTTCCTTCCTTCCTTCCTTTCCTTCCTTCCTTCCTTCCCTCTCTCCCTCCCTCCTTTCTTCTCCCCAACCTTCCTTCCTTCCTTCCTTCCTTCCTTCCTTCCTTCCTTCCTTCCTTCCTTCCTTCCTTCCTTCCTTTCTTCCTTTCTCTCTCTAGAGATGGAGAAGTTACAGGAGTCCTCGATGGGGATGTTAGACCACATGGCCTTCCACCTCTGAGATTCTGTGATCCCAGGATTGCATTGATCACTCAAGTCACCACCAAACACTACCATCCCGTTCACCAGACCACCACTCCTAACACAACAAACATGCCTGTCACACCAATCATTCTTGTTATGCCCAATACAACAATATTCCTAAGCATGGCCCAAGGGGCAACCACCTGTTGTGTTCTGGCCTCCGGTGGACCCATGTCCAGGGTCTAGTAAATATGTCAGGACTGGTTGGGACCAGAAAGTTATAGAACATTGGAATCCCAGTTCTCTAAATCTCTGTGCCCTTTGGGGAGAGAAGTCCTCGAGAGGTCCTATGGGGTCCTGCTTTCACTGCCCCCCCCACTCTGAGAGCTTGACATATCCCAAGGGGCCTGAGACTTCTTCCTCTTGTTGGACCAGGGCGAGGGGGAGGGTGCCTCTGTCCAAAGAGAGCCCCAAGGAGCTTCCTAGAGGTACAGAAGATTACTCCTGTCAACCTCCCCACTGAGCCACCTTCACCTCCAAGCCCACTTGAACTTCAGGGCTGATCAAGGGAGTGTTCACCATCTCCTCTCCTCTCTTGGCTTTCCCCATGCTGCCACCCAGAAGCTGCAAAGGCCTTGGCTCCAAGCCAACTGGTGAGACCTCAGGGATGAGGGGGAGACCTCAGGGCCTGGAGCCTGGAATGGAAATCTTTAAAATATTAAAGTTAAAAAAAAGTTGCTTTAAAAAAAGTGTGTTAAAAAAAGAAAACCTTTATTGGTGTTTGTGAACTGTGTGGGGTGGGTGGTGAAGGGGGGATGGTCTCCCATCCCCCACTGCCTCCTTTGAGGCTGGCAGGATCCCCAACCCTCCTTGTAGAAGTCCTGAGAGGGGAAGGGAGGGAGGGGGAGGAGAGATGGGACTGTGGACTAGGGGATTCTGGGGGCCTCATTTCACTGTCTGCCCTCCTCCCCTCAGACAGAAAATGAGACACAGTAGGGTTGGGGAGCAGTCAGAAAACGGGACAAAAGGAAGAAAAGTCACCTTAAAAAGGAAGTTGTAGCTGTTCTTAGCAAAGAGGTTGTTTTGCCCGTTTCTTCTCAGGGAGAAGTCGGGTTGAGGAGGATCAGAAGGATGAGGCAGTGGCTGGGGGCCGGCCCTCCCTCCAGGACACTTCCCCCCCCCCCCCCCCCGACTCCCAGCCTCCTAAGCTTGTCCAGACTGGAATACCTGTCTCATAGTGTCGGAATCCTTCCTGATTCTGGCTCTGATTTGAGACAGGGCTCTGGCCTCCTGAACCTGGGCGTTGGCCTCTGCCAGCGCCTGGGCTTCAGCCTGGGCCTTCTCTCTGCGACGCCGGGCGGAGACAGCACCGGGGAGAGGCAAGGACAGGGACAGCACAGTCTGCTGCTCTTGGGTTTTGGCCTGCTGGCTCTGGGCCGTTTTGCTGTCGTCCTTGGAAGAACTGTCTGGGAAGTACCAAACGGCCTTGTGGGTGATGCGCTCCCACAGCCTGCCATTTGGGTCCCTTTCGTCTTCTTCCTCTTCCTCTTCCTCCTCTTCCTCCTCCTCTTCCTCCTCCTTTTCCTCCCCCTCTTCCTCCTCCTCTTCCTCCCCACCCTCGGTCTCTGGCTGCATCGCTGGGAAGAGGGGAACCCCGTCCCGGCGCTGTGCAAGCCTCAGTTTGAGCACGGCCTGGGTGACCACGTCCTGAAGGGCTGGGAAGAGCTGGTGCTCTGCCAGGAAGTCTAGGGTGTGGAAGGGCTCCTTCGTGGGGCAGTAGGAAGGCAGCTCCATGGAGGAGGAGGACGACGTTGAGCTCAGGAAGCCCAGCAGCAGCTCCACCAGCTCCTTCTCGAGCTCTTGTTTGATGAAGGCCAGCTCCTGCTCCATGATGCTGGGCGTTTCTGTGGAGCAGCTGACCTCTGTCTGGGTGCCTTTTCCCATGGCACCTCTCTGGCACACGGGAATGTGCTTCAGGGAGCTTGGCCTCTTGGTGGAGTACCCCTCTGTCTGGATGCCTTTTTCCATGTCACCGCTCTGGCACACGGGAATGTGCTTCAGGGAGCTGGGACTCTTGGTGGAGTACCCTTCAGTCTGGGTAGACTTGTTGGCCATGCAGGGAAGTGATGGAGGGCTGGGGATGGAAGACGGGCTGGGTAAACGGAAAGGGCTGGGCATCTGGGTCATTTTGGGCATCTGGGTCATGCTGGGCATCTGGGTCGTGCTGGGCTTCCAGGTAGGGCTGCACGTGCCCAGTGGGCTGGAAGCCTTGGTCCTACTGGCCTTGTCCAAAGCACTGAAGATCTTCAGCAGGCTGGGCATCTCATAAGACTTTCTCCGAACAGGTTCCAGGAGCTTGGACAGACATGCCAGCCTCTGCCCCCTGGACAACACCAGGTCCAGTGGGTCCAAGGACCTCTTCCAGAGGAAGAAGTCCTCTTTGTGAGAAGACATGGGATCTTTGCTTTTCTGCAAGGGAAGGAAGACAAGGGTGAGGCTCAACTCAGCTTCCTCCTCCCCTCTTCCCAGACTGTCCCAAGTTAACAAGCCCCAGCCTATGGGCCATATGATCTCTGGGGTGTGAGGAAGGACCTTCTTGCCACTTATCACCACCCCTATCCTCTGGTCTGAGTTGGGGAGACAGGAGACTGGACTCCATCCAACCTCCTCCCAAAGTAGATGCCTCAAGTCCTGTCCGCCTACTGGCTGGGGCCGCTGGTAGGTAGTACCTTCCTAAGAATCTGCCTCAAGTCTCTTTCTAGTTGAAACTTCTCTCGGATGGGTGGGAGGCGGGAGACAGGACTCCAACGCTCATAGCGGGAGACCTTTGGGCACCGCCACTGAGGATTCAGAAAGATCCTGCCCAGGCTGCCTCTGCCACGCAGGTCAGCAGAGGCCCTGCAGTCATCTCGGCTGTCATAGAGGTTGGAGTCAGAACTGGAGCTGGATGGATAGTTGTTGGGGAAGCCAGGGTAAAAGTGAGGGTGACCCCTGCGGAGTCTTCGGGCAGCTTCCAGGGCGTCCCTTTGCTCCTTCGCCTTCCGGCTGGGGCCCTTCTCCACATCGACCAGGGGCACACCAGCCTCTGTGCGCAGCTGGGTCACTTTCCTGGAGGCCTCATCCACTACCAGCTGGAGACTGTCCAGCACAGGGCTTGTGGCCAGAAAGTCCAAGAATTCTGAGAAAGGTTCAGCCTTGGGGGGCTTCTTGTGGCCATGGGGCCGAGGCGGCATGGGAATATGGAACGGACAGGGGGGTCGCAGGGGACCGTGCACCTTGTATGGGGGTCCCATTTCAGCACACACTGGCCTTTTGTGCACCTGAAACTAAAAGCAGTGAGACCCGTTATTGAGAGGTTGGGGTGTGGTGGGGGGTTCTCCAGGGAAGGAAGAAGCCCCTCCCCCAGGCTCTTGCCCTGCACTGGGGTGCCTCTCAGGAACTCTTGGTACTCCATTCCAGGCAACTCTCTGAGATAAAAAGTTGCTGACCTGTATTACTAAAGGAAGTGTCCCCAGCAGGAGCTTCGTGAGTGCCAGTCACACGGACAAAAGCCAAAGACAAAAAACACGATACATTCTATTGGGATGAGACACTCCATAATTCCACAAGGTTGTAGTAAACACCTCCTATGAGGCATGCACCATGCTAGGTGCTGGGGATAGGAAGGGAGGGAGGAGGGGAGGAAGGAAAAAAAGAAGAAAGAAAAGGAAAGAAGAAGGGAATGAAAGAAAGGAGGGGAGGGAGGAAAGAAGGGAAGAAGGAAGGAAAGGATGAAGGAAGGAATAAAAGAAGGAAGGCAGAAAGGAAGGGAAGAAAGAAATGAAGGAAAAGGAGGAAGAAGGGGGACAGCTAGGTGGCACAGTGGATAGAGCACTGGCCCTGGAGTCAGGAGGACCTGAGTTCAAATCGGACTTCAGACACACAATACTCACTAACTGTGTGACTCTGGGCAACTCACTTAATCCCAATTGCCTCAACAAAAAACAAAAAACAAAAAACAAAAAAAAGGAGGAAGAAGAGAAGAAAAGGAGAAAGGGAAGGAAGAAAAGAGAGGAAAGAAGGAAAAGAAAGGAAGTGAAGGAGGGAGGAAAGGAGGGACAGAAAGAAGGAAGAGAGGGAAAAAGGGAGGGAGGAGGGAAGGAAAGAAGGTACGAAATGAAGTGAGGGACAGGGAGGAGGTAGAGAGTGAGGGAAGGAAGGAAAGAAGGGGGGAAGAAAGGAGGGAGGAAGGAACAAAGGAAGAGAGGAAGGAAGAAAAGATGGAAGGAAGGAAGAGGGAAAGGAAGAAAGAAGGGAGGGAGGAGTCAAGGAAAGAAGTATTTATTAATTGCCTACTATATGCCAAGTATGGTGCTAACCACTGGGCCAGAGCCCAGGCTCTTGGAAACTTCTGGCCTCCCGGGGTATTGGGACACCGAGAGGTTGGGCAGGGATAAGTTAGCTTCCCACCAGGTCCTCCAGAACTCAGGATACTTCCATCCTCTTCTGAGACGGGACACCCAAAGCTTAGAACAAAATACTGCCCATGTGGGGATTCCCATCCCAGTTCTAACTTCCAGAATTCAATTCCAAAGGAAAAAAAATCGGCAGCATCTAAGGAGCCATCTCAGGTTTCTAGGGAGGAAGTTTAGATAGCACATGAGTAGTCTTAAGGGGAAGGAGTATTTCATTTTTGGTGTTGTATCCCCAGAACTTTGGACAGCACCACACACACACACACACACAACACACACACACACACACACACACACACACACACCGGAGGCATGAGTTCATTAGTTTAGGGAGCTCCTGTTGGAGAAACTTCAACTAATAATACAGATCGGTACAACTTGTTTGTATATTCTGGTCTTAGAGGGTTGCCTAGACTGGACCAGTTTGAGGTCCAGTGATTTGTCCAGGGTCACATGGCCATATGGGAGAGGCTCCAAGGTCATCATACTGACTAGCCTCCTTATTTCTGTCCCCCTCCTGCTTTATCAATGCTTAAACAATAGTTAGTTTCTCCCCTATAGCCCTGAGAGGAAAAGCTGACTGGGTTCCTTCTGTTAAACAGATGATAAAGCTGAGAGGTCAGAAAGGTGATTTGACATGCCCCCATGGTCACCCAGACAGTGTAGTGGTCAACAGAAGTGGGATTCCCACCCAGGCCTCCTGACCCCAAATCCAGAGGTCTTTCCTCAGCGTCCCAACTACCTTTCTCACGTGGGCTGGCCTTGGGGAAAACCAGGGTTAACTTTCAGAAGAGGCTGCTTGGGTTTAAAACTCAAGCTCAGCATATGGCCACATTGAGGGGCAGCCATTGGTGAGGGTGTGCTGTGGAATTAAATCTAGGGGATTCCCATGGTGGGAAGGAAGATAAGGGGCCCCTCTGGAAGAGGAGAGAGAATAAAGTGGAGAGTGGAGCCTGAGGTCACATGAAGAACTTGGGCCTGTATGTAGGGAATGAGCAAAAGTCTATGGAGTTGGATGGAGTGGGGGCTGATTTGGGGATGGGAGAGAGAAAGTATGGGGCCCATGTGGGAGTATGGCCCAGGGCATGTAAGTTCAAGGAAGCCTAGGGTAGAGTGGGACATGTGGGCCTAGAGGAACTTGAGATCACGTTAGAGAACCCGGATAAGGAGTGAGCCGTGTGGGGTGAAATCCTGTTAGATGAGGTGGGTTCTTTGAGGGAGTGGGGCTGGTGAGGGCATAGGGGAGGAGATTGAAGAAGCTGGGATTCCTGTGGAAGGTGGTTGGTGGGGTGGGGGTGAGGAGTGTGGGTTGAAAGGTGAGGTCCTGTGGGGGGGTGAACTCTGTGGGTTTGGATTGGGGGTGGCAAGTATGAGCTGAGAACCTATGGAACCTGGGGTCAGCTGAGGTTGGGCTCCCCAAATGTGGTGGTGAAGGCTATGGGTGTGAGCTGAGGGCTGGGATCCTGCTGGTGGAGTGGGGAGGACTAACTCAGAGGGGTCTGTTTCCCAGGAAGGGGAGCCCCCCTTACCCGCGGGGGTCCCAGGGTGCCTTCATCATCGGCCAAGTACCCTGAGTGGTGGCGGCGACTGCCTGTGTTCCTATGGTGGACAGGGCCCAAACCCTCGCTGCTGTGGGAGTCCTGAGCTTCCACGTTCTGGGCAATTTTGTCGGCCCCGGAGGTCTGAGGGACGGAGGTCTGGCCGTCCAGGCCGATGCTGCTCTGGGAGGCCCGAGGGATAGAGGTCCTGGAGCTCTGGCCGATGTAGTCGTGGGCGTCCTGGGTGTCCTGGGTGTCCTGGGCGACGTTGCTCTGGGAGGCCCGAAGGATAGAGGTCTTGGAGTCCCTGCCAATGGAGCTCCGCGAGCGACGCTCGCCGAAGAACAGAGAGTTTAGTTTGATGGAGGTCTGGGACTCGCGGGCTTCTGAGGGCCGAAACTTATTGTGGGCTGAGGATCGCGGGTGCTGCCGCTCGTCGCTTCGCTTTTGGGAGGAGGTGACCCGATGCACCCGGTGACCGAGAGTCTGTGGCTGGACCTCGGAGTCCTTCAGGGTCCGGGCGTCGGAAGCCTGGGAGTACACGTCCAGAATGGTGCTCCGCAGGATTTCGGAGTCCCTCAAGGACTGTAGGAAAGAGGTTTGCGAGTCCTCCGCCTTGGTAGTCCAGGACGTCTGGGTGACGGAGTCTTGTGAGATGCGGGCTCGGGGTTCTTCCTGGGTTGGTCTCAATTCGGCTTCCATCTCCCGTCTGGGCTAAGGCTCGGGCTCCTAGACGGCGCCCCTGCGGCTCCAGCTCGGGCTCCAGCTCCCACTGGCCAAACGCGTCGGTGCTCGGCTGCGGCAGCTCTGTGGAGGGCAAGCGGCTAGGCTCCGCCTGCTCGCGCCGGCTCCCTTCCCACGCTGCCCGGTCCTCCTACTCGCTCCGCTCCTGGCAACAGCCAACAGGGCGCTCTGAGGCAGCCAGAGAGAGCGAGAGCCAGCAGCCGCTCCCGGATTCCACCAGCTGTGTGCGGCTCAGTGACGGCCCTCTCTTTGCACGATGCCACCCGATTGGCTTGGGGGCGTTCGGAGACGCGTCCCATTGGTCTCTGCTCTCCCAGCGGACAAAGGAAGCGAAGTCATTGTTGCGAAAGCTCGAACTCGGCTCCTGAGGAGACTAGTTAGTGGGGTAAGACCCCAGATCAGGAGAGCCGCTTAGTTAATTCCCGGGCGGCCTGGGAATGGAAGTGAGGGTTAGGGGAGAGGTGTGATCTCACAGCCAAACGATGTCCCACCCTTAGTTCTCCACGCCCTGTCCTGTCCAGCGCTCCCATTCCTCTGCCTTCAGAGGCGACTTCCCACCGGCCGCTTCCGGCCGGGTCCGCAGTCCTCTGGCCTAGTTTCGGCTCGGCTCCGCTTCTTCCACCTTCCCCCTGCTCTCTCTTCTCCAATTTCTTCCTCTCAGGCTCCTTCAGTTCCATGGCCTCAACTAGCACCTCTGGGCAGCAGATTCTGGGAGCACTTAGCACATCTCACCAAGTCTGCTGTGTGCGTGCATGCATGCCTGAATGAATGCATGAAAAAAAAAAAAGCATTTTTGAAACATTTCCTATGGGCCAGTCACCGTGCTTAAGGCTGGAAATAGAAATACAGAAGACCTCAGGGTCTGCATTCTAATGTAGGAAGCCACATATAAAAGGGAATGTGGCCAGGGGAGGAAGTGTCTGGGGGAGTTACAGGGATGGTGAGCTTATCCAGAGATCAGTCAATTGATAGGCCCCTTCCAGAAACCGACGATTTGATGACCAAGTCCAGAGCAAATGGCAAGATGGTTGGGTGAGATGTGAACCACAGGCTGGCCTCTTGGTCTGGGTCAGGCTAGATATAATGGACCAACAAAGTTTGACTCAGTTACTCAACGAAGAAACCTTGGTCCCGAATTGGAAGCTATATAACTTTCACTTTATTTTTTTAGGCCATAGAGTATTTTAAAAAATATTTTATTTTTTCAATTACATGTAAAGACAATTTTTAAGATTAATTTAAAAATTTTTGAGTTCCAATTTTTTCCCCTTTCCTCCCCTCCCTAAAAACTAAGAATTTTAAATAGGTTATATATGTACAATCATGTAAACTATTTCCATGTTAATCATGTTATGAAAGAAGAAATAGACCAAAAGGGGAAAAAATGAAACAGACAAAGAAAGGAAAAACAGTGTGGTTTGGTCTGCATTCAGACTCCATCTGAACTGATCAACTGAACTGACTGATGACTCCATCAGTTCTCTGGATGTGGATAGCATTTTCCATCATAAGTTCTTTGGAATTGTCTTGGATGGCTGTATTGCTGAGAAGAACTAAGTTATTCATAGTCCATTAGGCCATGGATTCTCTTTAATTTTTATTTATATAAAGCACTTTTAATACATTATTTCATTTAAACCTCACAACAACCTTGTGATATAAGTACAAAACTTATTTTTATCTCTGTTTTAAAATGAAGAAACTTCAGCAGTAAAGTTAAATCAATTTTTTTCTCCACTTAATAGTATTTTCCCAATTGCATGTAAAAATAGTTTTCAACATTCACTTTTATAAGATTTGGATTCTAAATTTTTTTCTCCCAGACTTCCTTCCCTCCTCCTCCCCTCTCCCCTCTTCAAAATGGCAAGTGATCTGATATAGGCTCTACATGTACAATCATATTGAACATATTTTCACATTAATCATGTTGTGAAAGAAGAGTCAGAACAAAAGGGGAAAACCACAGGAAAGAAAAAAAAAACAAAAGAGAAAATAGTCTGCTTCTATCTGCATTCAGACCCCATAGTTCTTTCACTGGATGTGGATGGCTTTTTCCATCATGAGTCTTTTGGAATTGTCTTGGGTCATTAAATTGCTGAGATCTAAGTCTGTCATAGTTGATCATTACACAATGCTGCTGTTACTGTGTACAGTGTACTCCTGGTTCTGCTCACTTCACTCAGTATCAGTCCATACAAGTCTTTCCAGGTTTTTCTGAAATCTGCCTGCTCATCTTTTCTTATAGCACAATGGTATTCCAATCCATTCGTATACCACAACTTGTTTAGCCATTCCCCAATGGATGGGCATTCCTTCAATTTCCAATTCTTTGCCACCACATGAGGAGCTGCTATAAATATTTTTGTACATGTGGGTCCTTTTCCTTTTTTTAGGATCTCTTTGGGACACAGACCTAGTAGAGGTATTGCTGGATCAAAGGGTATTAGGCTGTGAATTCTTAACCTGGGAGGCATGAATTTGTTTTGTATGTGTGTATACACATATATGTACATATATGTGTATATATACATACACATGCACATATATAGCTATAGACGTGTGTATATGTGTGTGTGTATACACACATGCATATGTGTACACATATGGAGGTGTGAGTGGGCATGCTGTATTGTTTTGCCAGTGTAGATTAGGTGTGTCCACATGGATATATCTAGATGTGGCTCTCAGGGAGGCAAGAATAGATATTTGTAGGGTCTCTTCCCCCACCCTTCTTCAATGGAGACCTTGATTCCTGCTGGGAGTGGGAGCAGGACATTGGAAGCAGAAGCCACTTCAGCTGTCCTCAGAGAGAAGGGGTACCAAGCTAGAAGGACACTGATCTGCTCCCTTAAATATTGTTAGCCTAGAAATGTAATCTTTGGTTCAAGCTGTGGTCCTGATTGCTATCCCTTTCTGGGGAAGGAGTATCCCAAGTTATATACCTAAGACTTGATTCCCTTTCTACCAGGAGTTGAATTAATTCCTTTAAGTATTGATTGATTTGATCTCCTTGCTGTCCCAGGGACTCTCAAAAGTCTCCAGGATGACAATTTGAAAGTGCTGATTCTGCAGCACTCAGCTTTCCTCATAGTCCAGCTCTCACATATTGAGATCGGAAAAACCATGGCTTTGACTATACCGACCTTTGTTGGCAAGGTGATGTCTCTGCTTTTTAGTGTGCTGTACAGATTTTCCATAGTTTTCCTTCCAAGGAGCAAGCATCTTTTAATTTCATGGCTGTGGTCACTGTCTACAGTAATCTTTGAGTCCAAGAATAGAAAATCTGACACTGCTTCCATTTCTTCTCCCTCTATTTGCCAGGAAGTGATGGGACTGGTTGCCATGATCTTCAGTTTTTGTTGGGAGGAAGGGGGTTTATGTTAAGCTTCAAGCCAGCTTTTAAACTCTCTTCTTTCACCCTCATCAAGAGATTTCTTAATTGTTCTTCACTTTCTGCCATCAGAGAGGTATCATCTGCATATCTGAGACTGTCAATATTTCTCCTGGCAACCTTAATTCTGACTTTTGATTCATTCAGCCTGGCATTTCATATGATGTACTCTACATAGAAGTGAAATAAACAAGGTGACAAGATACAGCCTTGTCGTACTCCTCTCCCAATCTTCAACCAATCCGTTGCTCCATGTTCAGTTCTAACTTTTGCTTCCTGAACAACATACAGGTTCCTCAGTAGACAGGTAAGATGATCTGGTACTTTCATCTCTTTGAGGACTTGCCATGTTTTGTTGTGATCCACACAGACAAAGGCTTCAGAGTATGAAATGAACATAATATAATGAAAATGTATTGAAAAAGAAGTAGGTGTTTTTCTGGAACTCTCTTGCTTTCTCCATAATCCAGCAAATGCTGACAATTTGGTCTCTAGTTCCTCTGCCTCTTAAAAAACCAGCCTGTACTTTTTTTTTCACTATTCATTCTTTTGTTTTTCTCAATTACATGTAGCAAAAAAATTTTTTTAATTTTTAATATTTTGTTTTTTAAAATGTTGAGTTCCAAGTTCTCTCCCTCCTTCTCTACCCTTTCCCCTCCTTGAGAAGACAAGCAATTTGATATAGATTATACATGTGCAGTCATGCAAATTATTTCCATATTAGCCATATCACTATTCATTCTTGATAATTAAAAATAGCTCACATTTATATGCACTTAAAGATCTGCAAAGCCCTTTCATCACCACAACCCTGTAAGGTATGTCATATACACATTATCCCCATTTTGTAGATGAGGGAACCAAGACTCAGATTAAGCGATTTAGATAGAGTTCACTGTATATGTCTCTTTTTCCCCCTAAATTTATTTAGTATTTTATTTTCCCCCAGTTACATGTAAAAACAATTTTTAACACTCATTTTAAAAATTTTGAATTTCAAATTCTCTCCCTTCCTCCCCCCTCCCCCCAACTCTTCTCATTGAGAAGGCAAGAAATTTAATATACCAGCCTGTACTTCTGGTTTCAGTTCACATATTGCTGAAGCCTAGATTGCAGAATCTCAAACATAACCTTGCTGGCATGTGAAATGAGGGCAATCGTTCGATAATTTGAACATTCCTTGGCATTGCGCTTCTCTAGTATTGGGACATAAACTGGTTTTTCCAAAAAGTGGCCACTGTTGAGTTTCCCAACTCTCCAGAATACTGAGTACAGAACTTTAACAACATTATCTTTTAGGATTTTAAATAGCTCAGCTGGGATTCCATCACCTCCACTAGCCTTATAGTTAGCAGTGCTTCTGTAAGGCTCACTTGACTTCTTTCTCCTGGATTAGTATTAGTAACCACACCTTGTGGTTATCGGAGATGCTAAGATCTTTCTTGCATAGTTCTTTTGTGTGTTCTTGCCACCTTTTCTTAATCTCTTCTGCTTCTATTAAGTCTCTGTCATTTTTGTCTTTTATTTTCATGAAATGGTCCCTTGATGTCTCATTTTCTTGTAGAGATCTCTTGTCTTTCTCATTCTACTGTTTTCTTCTATTTCTTTGCATTGCTCATTTGAGAAAACCTTATCTCTCCTTGATATTCTCTGGAATTCTGTATTCATCTGGGTAGATCTTTCTCTTTCCTTCTTTACTCAGCTATTTGTAAAGCCTCATCAAATACCATTTTGCTTTCTTGCTCTCATTTTTCTTTGGAAAGTTTTTTGTTGCTGCCTCTTATATAGTATTGCAAACCTCTGTTCATAGTTCTCCAGGCATTTTATCTACCAGATCTAATCC